TGAAATGTGGATGCATCATTGCCTGGTGACAGAAATTCTTAATTTAATTTAATTTAATTTTCCCATCTCCCCCCTGCTTCATGTTCCAAGGCTCCCTGGGATCTGTTTTGCTCTTGAGAAGCCTTTGGGAGATTTGGAATGAGGGAGGGGTGGGGATTCATATCAGAAAATCACCAGTAGGTATCAGCATGCCATAGTTATTTTTGCTGATGATGAACAAATAAATATTAGATCTTACTTTATCTTTATTGATAAAGTAGCATGGTGTGTGGATAAACTCACGGGATGTTGAACAAACTCAGTGACATTAACTTGCTGCTATTTCAGGTTTTCAGTGTTATTTCACTGTATTTGTTTGTTATTTCACAAGTGTGCAAAAGCTTCAGATCTCACAAACAAGTATTTCCGCCAGCTCCCAGAGCAAGAGAATATGGTGGCTGAACTCCTGTTGTGTAGCTTCGCATGTGCAACAGTGATGATGTCAGCAGCAGCAGTAGCAGCAAAATGCCACTGACTAAAGGCAGTTTTGAGGTCCATGCAACTTGAACACATTGCAGTGAAGTTGCATGCATCCTGAAATTACCAAAGGAAGCCTGTAATCAGAGGCATTGCTGCCTCTGATTAAAGGGTAGCTCGTGTCTTCATTGCCACTGTCCTCATCACCACTGCGCACACAGAGCTCAACAGAATTTCAGCTAGTGTTATTCTGTACATGCTCACTAAGAGCCATGGCTCACTGTATTCAGTAAGTTTTACTCCCAGATCAGTACACATAGGAATGCACCTCAAGACTTTATAATGTTTCCAAAAGGAAACAGGCCTACTTTGACTGTTTATATTTTATCATTTAGTTCTTCTTGAAACTGAGCACACCATTGACAGGCTATTACAAGCTATGTAATTACAGAGATACTGAGTTAATTACAGAGATCTGAGGAATAAATTAGGCCTATGGTATAACACATGATTCAGAGTTCTCAATAATCTTACTCTGTCATCTGCAATTTTGAAACCTTTAGTTAGGAAAGAACACTTCTCACATGTAATCCATTTGAACTGCCTGGATTTTGTGGCCCTAAATACAATAGACTCTGATTTTGGCTGTAGAGTATTTCCAGCAACAGCCCACCAATACACAAACCTCAAGAGAATCAGGTTATTTATAATTCCCATGTTGTTATGGCATGAGAGGTGCAAAGTGATATTTTGAAATCAAATCAATACATTTAATGGTCAAAATCCTATTGCACAGTTCTACCGAGGCAACGGGAATGACAGCATTGGCAAATTCCTCCTAACTAAAAGAGTTCCTGCTTTGATTCCAGGTTGCATGCAACTGTGAAGTAGGAGCTGTTTAATTAGTGGCAGTCTGCAAAGCTATGCAACAACATACTGGCCCTTATGTTTAACATTTGTTAACTAAGTATTATATTCATTTTTTTTAAAAAAAGTGATTTATAATTTGTACTTCTATATTGCAGTGGACTGGCTTCTGATATATTTCTGGTTTGTCCATTTGCTAAAAGAAGAATTCTCCACTGCATGTATTGACAACTGAGAAAATAGAAGAGGCCATTAGAACGAGGGATATTGTCCATGGTGCTGAAACTGTGACCAAGTTTGACAGGAGTTAGACACAACCAGAATTTCATTAGCAATCTGGTTTAAGTGATTTCTTTTCATAACTCTGACAGAAGGTCTTCTGTATAGAAAATGCTCTCTTCGCTTAATGGGCTTTGTCATGTGTGTGTCTTTTTCTCTACTTTTTTCAAGACACTCCTTTTAATTTATTCCTTGCATTCAAATAAGAACTGAACACAAGTGATAAATCCAGCTGAACACTGGCTGAAACTCTTTAGTATCGTACTTTGTGACAATGATAGCATTAAAGGAAGCATACTTTTCCAACACCACTACATACACTGTGGGCAAGCCAGTGAAACTTTTTCAAGGACTCAGGGCTTTTATCTCAGCCCATTTGAACGTGAAAAGGAATTTTTAGGATCAGTTTGCAAGAATTTTGCATATAAAGTTACTCACATCTATAACATTCTTGGATTCCAGATTAACTATCGTGTTTCCAAAATCTTGGATTCCTAAAGTTTGTCTTTACTATCCGTTTGTTCAGGATCTCAACAAGATCCTTGGAAATTTGAAGATAAATGCCTGACTCCTGTCAGTACTCAGTAGTTTGAAATGCTGTAGGGAGAACTAAGTAAGTGAAAGCAGTAATACATGCCCTCCCTGTGGAAAGGCCAAATTCCTTCAGTACCGGAAGAACATGATGATGTGACATCCAAACCTTCTACTCATGGTACTTACTGGGTAGTTTCAGATATCCCCTATCTGGACAAGGTGCTTGAATTTGTGGTGATGAGAGTGACCCATCTCCAGGAGGTTTTTGATGAGAGGGATTATTTGGATCTGTTTCAAATATGGTTCTTGCCTGAGACTTAATTCAGGCATAAATTATGGTGTGTTTATGTCAGTAGAAAGCCTTGGATACTCTGAATGAGACTGTGGTTTTTTAAAAGTATACCGTCTGTGCGGTCAGCTCACCAGGCCTTACGCCTGGGTGCTAAGGCATTGATCATAAGTATGACTGCTTTTGTAAAACACTGATTTGCACACCAGCTGCATCACTTCTGGGAGGGGGAGATCTGGTTACTGTTGCAACTGCTACTGTCGGGTTTTTTGTTGTTGTTGTTAAGTGTGCAAAAGCTTCAGTTGCTGCAAAATAATACATCCAGAATGATACTGGTAGGCATGCATATTACTCCTGTAGGTCTCAAGCTACCCCATTTTGTTATAGTGCCAAAATCAAAATGCCCTTCATAGTTTGGATGGCAGGTGTTTGGATGCAGGACTGCATCTTTCTGTTTGTATCTTCCTGCACATGGAGATCTTCAGAAGGGTTTTGCTTCACATCACACCTTTGCCTGAGACAAGCACATGGGCCCGGGGTTGCTTTGTAGTGGCACTCAAGCTTTGGAATGCCTTTCCTTTGCTGAATTCAGCAGGGTCTGCCCTGCCATTAGTCAAAATAAGGTGCCCAGCTCAGATAGCCAACTTGGAGTGATGTGAAAACAGCAGTAATTTTTTTTCTACTTTTTAATGCCTAGAAGAGGGAGAGGTGCTTGTGGGATTTCTGCCTCTTGTGCGAAAATAACTTGACTGACTGGTACTAGGCACCCTGGATTCATATAACTGGGGTGCAAGTTGCTAATCCACATCAGGCAACAACATGTCTTGTGCCAGCTTTGTTGTTAGGTTGCTCTCTTTTCTTCATTCCATAGACTGATGAAGGCGAGAGCCATAGCTAGCACGTTGGGTGCCTTGAGCACATAGGATTCCCTCCTTTCTCCTCCATCCTGAGATGACTCCTCTTTTTTGAGGAAGGCATGAGGCAGCCACACTATGCTGCTGCTATTCCAGTTTGCTCCTTCTTAAGCTTGGGATGGAGGGTGTGCATGTATAGATGCCCCAGTCCTTACTGTTGTCTGTATGGTAGAGGATGGGATGTAGTGCTAGGGTGTCTTCTTTCCTTTCTTCGAAAGCACAGATGTACTCTTTCTTTTTGAGACGATGTTGTGCTGTTGTAATATTGGTGGACCCCACTTGGCTTCCTGTCTCGGGTAGGAGAGTGCAGGCCATGTCTGTAGGGAGGTCGCCTGGAAACAAATAGCACTGTGCGATATGGGTATTTATTTTTCTCATATTTGGTACAAAACTCATTCTAATTTTTGGTGCCCTTTAAATTCTTGCACCCTGAGGTAAAGTGGCATTTGCCTGCTGCTGTTATAGCTCAGGTGAATTAGACCTTTTAGAATGATTCTTTTATTTCTGCCCCTAATCCTGTACGTTTCTTTTATTATGATGTTTTATCTTGGCATACTTTGACTGTAAACTCGTATTTGATTTCGGTTGTTGTCTTGACGCAAGTTAATTGTAAACTTTCATTTTATTGTTTTGCTATATATTTTGTACTTTTAAGTTTTTCTTCATTAGTTTGGAGTACTGTGTGGCATTTCAGAAATTTACCCTTCACCTTGTTTAAAAAGAAATGTGAACTCAAAAAAGCTTGATGGAAAAGAAGTGAATAATTTCAGTTGACATTGCAACATGAATGATGACTGAAATCAAAGTTGTGAATTTGTCACTAGGCATTCATGGCAAAGAAAAACGTGCCTTAATCTGTGCTTAATCAGCTAAACATTCATGAGAACATTCATGCTGTGTGTGTGTTTTTTCATGAGGTAGTATTTCTTATGCAATTATGAATATCTGTAAAAAGGTCTTGGTTAGTTGTTTACTTTTGTTCATTTTTTTTTCCTTTCCCAGAGATTTTTTTAGAGTTTCATGTTTCATAAGAAACAGGGTAGAATTCTGTCTGTTCATGGGTCCTGCTGCTTTCCTGTTGCTGATCACATTTTTGCCCTTTAGGTGTCTACCTGGATTCTCTGGAGCAAGATGTGCTGCAATTGTGCCCATGAAAATCCAAAATCCAGAAAGTATGTTTTAAAATAATATGAAATCTGCTTTTATCCCACAACTACAGCAGTCAAAAATCAGTGTCGCTTGGTGTTTTCTCCCTTCAGTTTCAACTGGCTTCTTTTTCTTTTTTGCCTTTGACACGGCCTGTGCACTTTAATGTGTACAATCTAACATTGTGTTTTTCCAGATTGCAGCAGTTCTTTATTAGTAGTAGCGTCGTTGTCAATGCTACAGGTTTTCTTACAAGAGGGTCAAAATAGTGGTGGAGCGTTGTAACTTTGTTTTGTCTAAAGTTCGCCTCCATCCACGTTAGTTTGGGTGTTTTTAAATCAGTGTCTTTTTCAAAACATCAGCCTTGATGGCAACAAGAAAATAGATCCAGTTTCTAAAGAGGAAAGCACCAAGTCCAGGCCACTCACACTAAAGGAGTCTCTTTCTTAGTGTGTATTTACCTCTTCTCTTTTTCTCCGTTTTCTCTACCTTTTTGTTTTTCTTTTTACTCTCAGGTGCCCAAATGAATTTACTGGTGATCGCTGTCAAAACTACGTAATGGCCAGCTTCTACAGTACGTCCACTTCCTTTCTGTCTCTGCCTGAATAGGAGCATGCTCTTTTGTTGCTGCTTTCTTGTTGCTGCATCTTTCCTCAGATTTTTATCTGTAACTAAATGGATTACATGTGCCCTAATGTAGACTACTTCTGCCTGTTTGCATGGAAATTATGGCGCAAGCAATTTCAAGAATTCAGGATGGGACAGCAAGATTAGGCAAATTTTAAAGTTAATGTTCACTCAAGTTAATTGCTGACATTCAGAAAGTACTATCTATACATAAACCTATATTGCTAAATAAAATAGAGCATTACAAAAATATAGTATGAATAACAATTATCCAGTCATGTAGAAAATTAGATGACAAGGTTGTTTACATACTTATCTGTTATGAACCCTGTTTAGTAGAAGCCTCTGGGGGAAAGACATGGAGACAGAGAGATGCATAAATATTCAATTTTTTCTGGTTAGTTATAAGGGAAATGTACAATTTAGAACAAATGCAGGGGCAGTTTCTGCATAAAAGTATGCTGCAGAATCATTGTACATTGGTAGTATAATCCTGCCTCTACTGGTGTACAAAGCATTCTCTTTCTGCTTTACCTGGTGTGTTTTATGTCTCCTTTGTCTTTGTTAAACTCCTTTTTTTGGCTGGGAATCTATAAAACTATAAAGTTATAGACATACCTAAGCACAAGGAAATGCTTATGAATATGGGGAACACTGCAGGGGTGTTCATATATTATTGATATCCAAAGATCCTTTGATCAAACCATCAGTGGAATGTGAGCTATTTCTTGATGGTTCATTCGCCAGTACTGAAAGATCTCAGCTACCACATGGTAACTTAATTTAACTTCCATTAGTACAGAGCATTCATTGGTCATATAAGTCTATCTTTCACGTCTATAAACAAAAAAATGTCTATGAATAATTTATGGAAGCCATCCTAAGCATTACCTTCTGAAACCCCAGTGTTCTGCCTTGGAGGAGGAATGATAATTCGCAGTATCCAGATGGGTATCTTATATACTAAAAGGCTAATTAGTGCAAAGCACTGAAAGTTTTATTAGCATTTGTTTTGCTGAAATATGAAATACATGTGAAATAGTTTTCTGGCTTGTTTTTTTTAAAAAAAAGATTTTAGATGTCCTAGAATAAATGAAGGTAAACAGTTAAAGGGAATTCAAAAGTTTTACACAGGTACTACATTTGTTTTAGTCATTAAAATAATAGACTCTAATGAAAGTTTGTTCTCCTGCAGTGCAAACCTCCATCTTTAGTCCTTAAATAATTCCCATTGATTGTGATGTCTCTGAGGCCCAGCCTACAGTTACCTTTACTTTGACATAGAACATATGTACCACAAATCCTTCTTAAGCCATTACCATGGATGTTGCATCATTCTGTAAACAAAAAAAATATACATTTATCTGTCAAAAGAAAAATCAGCAAGGAAGTACTTAGAGGCCTTTTGTTAAATGGCCAAATACAGATGAAGCCATACAATTAAAAGGGGAAATTTATCTAATTGGAATAAGTATGTGAAACTTATATTGGTGTTGCTGATGTCTGCATATTATGCTTTACTGCAAAGCAATTTAAATATGTTGTTTAGAAGAATTTTTATAGAACAGATTTTAAAGCTACCTACTACCACTGAAGGAAGATGACAAAGGAAATTATTTTTTTAAAAAAGAACCTAAATGAATTAGGAATTTGGGGGAGGACATTCAGAAATATGAAGAAAATCTGCCTTAGATTTTTGGAATTTGCGAATTATCTGTTGCATATTGCAATCAAGTAATGTAAGTGAAAAACACAGCTGTCAGAACAATTTCATTTTGCGAGATATTACACAATTTTTTCTTATATGTGTTTCCAAAAACTCATATTTCCTAAACATGGAAATTAAATGGAGATGAGGTTGCACTAGATACTCTGCCATAATGGTCAAAAGTTCAAGTGGACTGAGTCTGTCAATGTACAGGAAGAGCTAGCTCCATCATGATTCTCAGGCAGGCATGAATTGAAGTCCTGCTGCCAGAGAGCCAGCAAAAATAACAACATATTGGTCTTTCAATTTTGAATTAAAGTAAAGCACTACTTGTTGCATAGAGAATAAAAGGTACCGCTGTGCTACAGAGATTTCATCTTGTCCTTAATACAGTACGTTACTCCAGATAGACACACATAGCTTGATGGTATACCAGGTCTCACTAGCTATAAATGAAGATCGTTTTTTAAAACAACAAATTACTCACAGTTTACAACAGTCAACATGAAAACTTATGTAAGCTGAAAGTGTTGAGCATGTGGGTGCAGCTATCCCACTAAGATTGGCATAGTGTCCTCTCTGCCCCATGCAAGTATAGTTTCACATGTGTGTATGTCAAATGATTGCTTGCCAGGCTCTATTGAGCCTGTGCTGATCCTTCCCTGCCTAGGCTGCTGCACCCTGAAGAGGGCAGATGTTTTCTTGCTAGCCTATCACAGTCAATATAATATTAAATAATATTAGCAGATTAAATCAGATTATAGCAGATTAAATCAGATTATATGCATAAGGGTGGCGGCGGCAATAGAAAGCATGGATATACAGGCATTCTGCAATTCAGAGAACATCGGTGTGAATGTCAACTAACAAACTGAAGTAGTATACTTAATTTGGGGGCATTACAGTGACTGGTGCATGTTTCCTCTGCATGTTTTTCATTAAGGTTTCCTTGCCAGGATATATTTTCTTGAAGTACCAACACTGAATTAGCTATATGAGCAACTTCCGCTGAAACTAAATTTCATCTAGGCTGTCTACTTTATCTGCAGACTAGCATAAACACAGGACATAATATGCATGCGCATGTGACTAACTCTGTTGAAGACTTAACCATATTTTCTATGCAACTAATGTATATAGCTAGTAGTGTTCATGTAGGCATGTAATACTGGCTTTTTATGACAAAAAAAAGCTCTTTGAATTTGGGCTTAACCCTAAAATGTTACTGAATCTTAGGGAGGACTGTATACTCCCAATAGTGTAGTAATAATGGTTTCATAAGCAGGTACTGTATCTGAAATGTGTATTTATATGTGTGTAGTATACACACAGTAAACAAATAGTTCAGAAAAATAAATATTGGCCTCATCAAAACATGGGAGACAGAAAGAGGTAGCTCTGAAAGCATAAAAATAACACTCCCCATCCATTTCTTAGAAATAAACACAGAAGATAAAGGGGTGAAACCTAATGTTTTATGAACAACCCCAGCAGTTACTGAATGTAACAGTGAAATGTTATATAGACTATATGATTGTGTATGCTGTATGTGCATGCATCATGGCAACAATGTTCATCACAAGCCTTTGCTTGTCTGGGCAGTTTCTTCTGTTCTTAACTTTCTCCTCTTGAGGCCTTCAACTCAGACCACCAGTAAACCAGCAGTTTTCATATATGGGCCTCTAAATAAATTCAAAAATGCACTCAGTGGTTGGTGGAGATAAACCAGATTAAACCTGCAAACCAATTGTGGAAGGGCAAGGATGGTACTGTTATTTCAGACATATCCACTGTGAAAATTTATATCTTATTTTGGATTAGGGATCATTTCAGTGGGAGTTTCCTTACCATAATTTGTCTCCACATCTAATAGACAAAAAGAAGGCAGTTTTACAGAGGCTGTCTCAGGGTGGCTTGTGTACCAGGATTTGGGGCACACTTTTTAATTTATCATTTCGGGGGCACCTCATACCCTGGTTACAAGTCATCAAGAGACCATTTGAAAACTTTCAGATGTTCCCCAAAAATGGCAGCCCTCCTAGAAATAAGGCCATGAAATATAGGCACATAAATAGAATGGGTTTCAGGGATAAATATTTTGAGCAGATGGGTGCAATGATCAGATGCTAAAGGGAACAGTTTCAATAAAGAGCCTATGATTACATCAGCAATATCTTTAAGGGTTCACATACACCAGTGCATTCTCTGTGTTCTTATAGATTATGTAGAGATGCCAGTTTATATTGGCTTTAAGCCAGATTTCCTAAATGAATACACAAGCCTGCCAAAGTTTATATGAGCCATGCCATATTAATCTCATGCCATTCATCATGTTTAAGTGTGCAGACACCAAAGAAGTATAGTATCCATATGTAATTTGTTTTTTTCAGTACAGTGTATTGCTCTTTTCTGAAACTATTTTCCCTCTTCTTTCTTTTTATGTCAACTTTCTGCATTGGCAGAGCATCTTGGGATTGAATTTATGGGTATGAACCAATCATTCCTTTTAGCTTGCAGATTTTAGACCCTGAGAGATTGAAAACCTTTTTATTTCCATTCCTCTTCAATTCCTAACCAACTTCCTTATGCTTTAGAAGGGATCATACAGCTATAACAGCCTTTATCAGCTCCCTACCTGCACTTAACTCAGCATTTATGAACATATATAAAGTGCTGTAGATAATGCTTGAGTTGGTCATAAGAGAGTGGAAATTCACTTTTATGTTAGATTGCTTGGCACTTCTTTAACATATGCTTTTGCTACAATCTAGTGCTGCTACTTTGTCTTGGAAGCCCCTATCAAATTTCTTCTTAGCATATTTACTGATGGAACATATCTCAGGGAATGAAAAAGAATAGCCTTTCTGTAAAACAATGGGATCAAAGTGCTACTTAAGAAATGGGGAACCTTTGCTGTTATGATTAATTTAACCTCGAACCCATCTCCGGTCACAAATTCCATTTGTGTAATGGTTTTTATAGAGGAGTTAAAGATTGGAAATCAAAGTGATTCTTTGCCCTGGCCTCTCCTAGATCACTGGTTCTTAACCTTGGGTTTTTTATAGAAGAGTTAAAGATTGAAAATCAAAGTGATTATTTGCCCTGGCTTCTCGCAGATGATAGAGGCCGGTGTTCTGGGCATGAGGTGAAGCAGGGTGCTCCCAGAAGCCTTCACCACCAGCTGTCCTGACTGGGGTTTCTGGGAGTTGCAGTTCAAAAGCATCCGAGTAACAAAGGTTAAGAACCACTATCCTAGATGATAGAGGCTGGTGTTCTGGGCATGAGGTGAAGCAGGGTGGACCATAGAAAATGAGACAAGGAAAAAGGAAGCTGAGGCAGGCCTGTGGCAACATTGAGGATCTGGTGCAGGTGTAACAAAATCCCAATATAATGTAGTTCAGACCAGACACCTGACCCAAAGCATATATGGGGGCGCAGTTGTTATTACATGGCCATTGCTTTAGATTCCTTCTTCATTTAAAGGCTGAGAATGCAACACAAGCAGAAACCTCACCTAACTTCCTTTAGACTCCAAGGTTAGGACATGTGTGGACTCAAATGCCAAGAACACCAAAAGAGTTTCCTGTACTGTATTCTGTAATGATTGGATGTGACTCTGAAATTACATGTGATTCAATATTATATCATTTGTTCTTTGGCATTCCAGTCCACAGGTATTAACTGGATTGATTACACATAGATCAGACTGCAGGTAAGAACTGTACGATCTAGTGAACTGCAAGTAGACTTCTGATTGCATAATGGTAGTTTCTTGCCTTCTTCCCATGCAACCTCTTACACTCCCTTCCTGTCCTACTCCTGAAGGTTCAGAGACCTTCTAGATAGCATAACATGTAGTGGAACCTGAAAACTGTCCACTATATAAGTACCATCAGTCTATACCAAGAGCTCTCTGGATCCCTATATTCTGAATGTTCAGAACTACAAACGATTTTTGTATGTGCAATGCTCAGTTCTGTGGCAGTTCAGAACAGCTACTGCTTATGGCCTGCACTAATAAAAACCACATTGTGTAGCTGAATGAACTTAGTAATACCATGCATAAACAAAATGATGCATATTTTACACTAAACATAAATAATTTCCAGGATAATTTCCCTTCACGGAGTGAAAGCCAGCATTATGGTTTTACAAATCAAAGAACAAATGTACTCTTTCTTCCTGCTGGTACAAAAAAAAACTAATACTAGTTCCTTCTATAATCAAGTTTACAGTACACAACTTCACAGAGACATAATGGACAACATCTTGTTTCATGGTTATGCCTGCTGAAGGCGAGCAGCATAAGCCACAAACACTTATCGCTCGCACTTAACAACCTGAAAATCCAAGTTCATGTCAACCAACCAGACTGGTGTGTGCCCCAAAATTCAAGAGGGTACTTGATAATGAGTTGTGAGAAGCTACTTTGTCTTGGAAGATACACTGTTACTCCTTTGCAGGTATAACTGAGGAACAGATAAGAGTTTATACAATCATTTTCAAGTGGAAAGCACAATGTCTGCACAACTGATGTGCTCCAAGAAAGTGAAATCATTCAGAAGTCATTGGCTTCAGTGCCTTAGATAAAGCCATTCTCTTTAGCAAATGTTATCTTGAGAGTTGTTTATTTGTTTGTTTATATGCCACCCATCTGGCAGCCAAGGCCACTCTGGATGGTTTAAAACAAATAAAGTAACAAAATAGCATATAGCAACATTAATACATAGGGGTGAAAATCAAAAATCATAAAGTGCAGTGAGGATAAAATTATAATACTATTAAAAGCGTAGAAAAATAAAAACATGGAGCATGGCAGTATGATAGAAGTTATATTATTGAACACTATTGTATCAGAGTATAGTTTGTTCAAGGAAGGCCTGTCTAAATAGCCAGGTTTTTAGTAGCTTTTTGAATGTGCCCAGTGAAGGGGCCAAGCGGACTTCAGGTGGAAGAGAGTTCCATAATTGTGGCGCTACTGCCAAGAAGGCCCGATTTCTAGTGGTTGTTTTCTGGGCCTCTCTTGGGGTCAGAACTCTCAGCCGCCCTGCCTGTGACAATCTTATAGGATGGGCAGACCTAACTGGAAGGAGGCGCTCAGCCAGATATTGAGGTCCCAAACTGTTTAGGGCCTTATAGATTCAGCTTCCAATTTTATCTTTAATAGCTCTGTGTTGTAAACTGCTCAGAGTGGCCTTGGCAGCCAGGTGGGTGGTGTAAAAGTCAAATAAATAAATAAATATAAAATAGCAACCACTCCTGTAATACTGGAGCTGCTCAAGAAGGGTTCTACAAGTCTTGTCAACACAGAGCCAGTGTGACATCAGAACATATCAGCCAATGGCACCACACCATCTAAGCAACTGTTAAGAGTCTAAGAAAAGGAGCAGAGTGCACGGCCAACTCAAGACAGAGATTCAGTAATCTCCACAAGCCTAGAATACTGATGGATATTAGTCATATAGATAAGCAGTTTTGCACAAAAATATGAGCACACATGCACGGAACATACATACACATACTCTCCCTGAAAGCTGCTGTACCAGCAAAAAGTTGTTTTAAAATTCATTCCATAGAGGAAGATACTTAATTTGCCAAAAAAAATTGTCCAGTGGCCTTGGAATTAATCCCCAGTGTGTTTGACATTTCTGTGACATGAGAGAAACCAATCCAGTAGCAGCCTGAGAAATTGTCATTTCTCAATTTCTGAAGTCCTGCTGTTAAACTGTGCAGATCAGGCTTGGCAAGTCCTGCACCAGATTTTCAAACCACAGTATTTTTAGATGAAAAATAATACCCACTCAGGAAAGAAATCTATGCTAGTATCTACAGGAGTTTTTTCAGTAACTGTTAGCTGCCACACCATGATTTTGCTTGCTCACAGTGTCATGTGACCCAACTAGAAGACCATACAGTATTTGTAATTGTCTTGACAGTATGTGACAAGTCATATTTAGACATCTGTCATCATCACCAAGGTACCCCTCATTACCCTTATCCATGCAAGCAGAATAAAGAATCAATCTTTGTTGCTGTTGCAGCTGGGCAGACATATAGAATGCGACTACATACTGAAGGAAATGCGAATGCACTCGCATTTGCTTGCTATAAAGTCTGACTAGGGCACATTTGGTTCTCTTTGATATAAGTGGCCACACAAACAGAAGAGGGGGGGGGAACCTTTCTACTGTAATTGCAGTTCCATTTGAAGTACCTTTCTAGGTAGCGCATTTCAAAGGAACTGCCTTAAGAAGGCTTTCTTTCCTCAGTCACTCATTTCCATATCTTATCTTGCCAGCTAGTAGAGCTCCTTAAACTATAAACAAACAAACAAACAAACCCACCCAGGAGAAGCAGGTGAAAAAGAGGTATCTTAGGAGAGAGGCTGGATGTGTGGATTGGTGAGCTCCTCATCCCCCCTCATGACACAAGAGGTATGGGGGAATGTGCTTTGTCAAAGCACCACTCTGTGTGTGTGTGGGTGTGTGCACACATGTAGGTGCATGGTCATGATCACTTGACCTTCCTTTCTGCTTCAGTTCAAAGTGATCACACACTTTGAACTGAAGCTAAAAGTTTCTACTTCTTAAAAAAAGAGAAGGATCTCTAGTGGAGAGGGAAAACTACAGATTGGGATTCTGGGCTGATCTGCATTTTCCATTGCATCATGTGATCAACAGGAAAAAATGCAAATCAGTCTGCCCCAAACCCGTAGTATTTCTCACATTTTTTTCCTCGTGTAGTATTTGTTCCCATTTTGTACTGGCAGTTTCATGGCCACACACAATGTGATAAGAGTGTATCACCAATCCAATCCTATAACCTAGTTATTAGCTCTACTCAGCTGGCACCTACCCAGTTGTTATCAACATGGTTATAAAAGAGACACTAGTCCGTTCCCTCTTTAGCCTTATTTTTTCCACATCAAGAACAATGTGTGTATGAGGAGAGAAACTCAGGGTTAGCTCATGTTCAAAGCCTACATGAGAGCTGCCTTTTCAGACACATTGCTTTCCAAATGGAAAACATGACAACACCCGGTAACTCTGTGGTGCCCAGCCTGATGAAGATCTGGGTGGAGTGAAAAGCTAGCATCTGTTTGTGATTTTTAGTGATCTAGTAAAGGTATCGCCCACCCTTATCTTTCGATTGTGTACAAAGACCACACAGCGCTGCTTCTTTTTTTGAGAGCTAGTCGCTGCTCTGTAATCATGTTTTGAACTGGGAAGGTAATAATTGAATTGTGCTGTGGTCATCTCTAGAACTAGCTGTGCAAAATCATGCCTGAGAGGTATCAGGATGTAGCCTGGGGGCATGGGCTTCATGTGCCCTTTCTTCTTGCCTGATGCAGTTCGTCTGCGAAGACTGCCGTTGGATGGGGACAAGAAGCCCCCGAGGATATAGGCTCCTGATTCTGCCACAACACCCCCAAGACATGCACTTACAAACATGTTTGGCCCCTTTCTAGAAAGAAGTGTTTAAAAATATTCCCAAAGAGAAGATACATTTGCGGGGCTCAGAAGCATTTACGGAAAGTACCCACTGTTTTTGTCTCAAGCACTACCGGTGCAATGAAGAGAAAGTGGGTAGATGAGAGAGAATGAGCAGTAGGAACAGAATTGTGAGACTAAGGGGGTGAAAGAGGAAGGGAAAGTGTGAACAGGGTCATCAGGAAAGAGATAAAGCAGCAAAAATGCTCTGAATGTTGTTTTGTTGGTGGTGCTAGTAAGTGTTCCGGGAAAATGCCACCGGACATTACATAGTTCATCACACACAATGTCTTGTATGCCTGAAAACACCCTAAGAGAGAGGCATTTTGTTAATAAGGCCGGGGGGTGGGGGCTGACTAAAATGGCAGCAGGACAGTTTCGCAAAACAGTTTTGCATAGTCACCGCAGGTTATCTGTTAATATGGCCACAGGTTTGCCACTAAAACTGACATCCCCATGGTGGGTCCTCTCTCTCCATGCAGGAACATCTCGCAGTACTTAGCACATGGTAGTTCTGTACCATGCGGTATGTGTTGCCTTTTATGCATGAGTGCAGGGAGGAAGAGGACTTGGGGGTAGTATGGGGTCAGTTCCACACCTAATCCAGCACTGAGTTTCTTATGGGCAGGAGGGAGCCAAAGGCAACATTTCCACAAGTTAATAGCTGATGCTACAAACAGAATTGTTTTAACCCTTTTCTGAACTGCATTGATTCCTCTTTACTGGATTGCATTTAGCATGACTTCTCTGTCACTTGTATTTTAACATTATAAGACTCCAGCTGCTTGGCTGCTCAATCAGTGCTTTCAGGTGAGCATAGGTCAGGAGTTATGCTGTATGTGAAATCCCTTCAAACACTGCTTCAATCTTATTTTCAAGCATTTTCCTCCACCCTTTTTTTCCAGTTATCAAGCATGCTATGCCAGGCTTATAGTTGACTTTTTAACTTCTACCCTTGTCTTTCCCTTCGATTCCTGCCTCCCATTTTCTCTTTCATATATTTGTGTTTGTTTCTGTCCTCTGACTTCCTGTTCTTCCATTTTTGTTTGTAATGAGTTCAGCATTCCAGTTGTCATTTTCTTACAAAACTGACCCTTCCTCCCCTCTATTAATAATCAGTACTATTAATTTTTGTCTGAATATGTTCAGAAGTCTGTTTACTGATGTTTATATTGGGATTGGCTTGTAGGAAAATATCTTCCAATAACCAAATGCATTGTATCATAGATATGACTTTAAAAAAAAGGACTTTTTTCATTCTTAATTTCAAGTTGCAGTGTTATGTTGAAACATCTTTCAGATAGAGTGGAGCTTCAGGCTTAAATAGTAAACATGTACATATAATATTAGTTGCCCTGACGAACATTTTTTGAACCAGAAACGTTACTTTGAGAGCAGTGACTGGGAGAGAGAATGTTTAATCTTTTCCCCACCCTGCTAAAAGGAAAGGATGTAAAGAAACACACATCTAAGTGCTATTTTCTACGAGTAGATCCTCTTGAATTTAATTAATTTTAAGGGACTTAAAGGGTCACAACTAATGTTTCTTAACCCAATACCCTAAAAAGGATAATAGCTAATACTTTGCTTGGTTAAGGAAACTTTTTAAAATCTTGTCACCATATAACCAAAGGAATACCAAATCTAATAAAATGTAAGGTGGTCATTCCACATGCCCTAGAAATTAAGTCTTCCATTAAACATTTTTGTAATGGTTGTTTAATATGCGATACACAACTGGAGTTCTCACTAAGGCTGTACATCAGTACAAGAAAAAGATTCATAGCAGGAGGCTATACGTATCTACTAAAAAGGAATTCTTACTGAGTTCTGTGAGAGTTACTCTCAAGTATTATGCATAAGATGTCAGCCTGTATCTTACATTTAAGTCCTTATGTCCTCTTTGGAAAAAAACTGCTAGAGTAGAGCACATGTAAAGATGTGTAATAAACGTATGGCCTGCAGAATAAAACTCTTTGGAGAAAAACACTGCTAGTGCTCATGTAAAAGCCAAAACCTCTGCTCCTCCAGATGTCTTAAAAGGAAAGCAACATTTCCTTCCTCCAGAGGCAGCCAGCACTCAATGGAAGTTCCTTCCTCCCAAACTGTTGTACATCGATAACATGCCACAACATATCAGTACACACTGCCAATTGTTGGTCATTGCCCAGAATGATGTAATCAAACCTTATGCTGGGTCAATGTCTAAGCAAATATTTGTACTCTTCTGAGCAACAGTGACCAAAGAGGCATGGAATTTGGGACCTCACTAGGCTAATGCCAGAAATCAATCTCAGAGGTAGACCAAGCCAAAGCAATTCTTACCAGATTTCTTATCACTGAACCAGGATATGGCCAAAGACAAACTGTCTCCATGTACAAAAGTAACAGGTTTTCATATTCTATTTCACTGAGGCCAAGAGATTCTCTCCCTTCTTTAAATTTTAACCTCTAAATTTTCCTAAAGAGAAGTACCACTAATACAGTTCTTTGCCCCTCATACCTTGATCACAATGTATTTTCCAGCTTTATGGGGGGCCAATTTTTGACTCAACATTGAAAATTTTTGTGTCATTTTGAGCAACAGAACAGGGAAATGCAAAGTTCTGGTTCACTGTAGTATTTGAACTAGTGTACAGTTATTATCAGTGTTCTGAATGTAACATTTCCTTTGTTCAACATACAAATTATGTTTTGCCAAGTGTGACAGACAACGGAATGCAATGCCATTTCCAACCCAAACATTTCTTGCCCTTAGAATTACTTAATAATGATAAAATATCTCAGTGAGGTCACTGCTTTGGAAAAGATTTTCTTCATGCAGCTAACTTTCATGCTACGATTATGGCTTATGTTATGAGAAATCATGGAATGTTTGTGGTACAATGCATTGCTATTTGTTGTAGTTTTGGATTTGGGATAGAGGGTACAATTGAAATTAACAGATAAATGGCATTATCAGCCCTTAAGGAGTTCTGTAATTTTCACCAGTGACTCAACTGCAAGCCAAGCCCAAACCATAGCTGTAACATTTCTCATGTAAAGATTGCTGTGATCCAAGGTAATACTGAAAAAGTATAAGGGCATTTTAAAAATGCCTAGAAAGAAATGCCTAGAAAGAATTTGGGAGGTGGGGTTGTGAATAACGATCTTTGTCCCAGCTGTCTTTGCAAGAAAGAAAACCATTTCTTCACTATATGCATTGTTGTTATATGAGTGTCATTATATGTTTTTTAAAAAGCATTTTTCAAATTGTACGTTAGAATTATTTTAATCAGAATTCTAAACCACTTGTTCAATTTATATTTATTTTAACTTTCACATTCATCCATAACTGGCCTTGCATTTAAATCTTAATTTCTGGAATTAAAATTTCTATGATGAATGTGTCCATTGATTTCATCATGTGCAACTGTGGGATGACTGTCTTTAATATTTATTTGTTGGTAATTTCTCTGCTTTATTATTTAGTTGTATGTGTTGTAACCTTATCTATTTTGTCCCTTTCTAGAAGCTGAGGAACTTTACCAGAAAAGAGTGTTGACTATAACTGGCATCTGCATTGCCCTCCTTGTAGTTGGCATCATGTGTGTTGTGGCCTACTGCAAAACCAAGTAAACTTTCCTCTTCTTCTCTATGTCTGTGTTTCTCTCTGAGGGATCAGGGGTCTCTCAAAACCAAAAGGCTAAGAAATATGCTTGCAACTGCTGAAACAGGGCCAAGCAGGCATATAATACTAATTTTATGCTGATAATCAATTACAGCTTATGGCAACCCTTTTCAATACAGACTACTCAGAAGTGGTTTACTATTCCCTTCTTCTGGGGGCACCCTGGGAATATCCAGCTTGCCTGAGGCTACGCATGCTGGCTCTTCTTCCCAGGAGGCACAGTGAGGGACAAAATTCCCAACCTCTGGCTCTGCAGGCAGGTACCCAATTCATTGAACTATCCAGCCAGCTAAGCAACTAAATAAATGTTGCTTTATGGCACAGCACTTGCATGGCTGACTAGCATTTTCTACAGGCAATAATTCCTTACCTTTTTTATCTGATTTAACTCTACACAGATCACTAGCAATGCAGTCCATTTGGCTTAAATAGCTTCAAAAGATGTGTCCCACAAAATTCTAGTTCTGAATAGTGTGTGACATGTATTAGAAGAATGTGAGGTGTTGCCTGACAGTGCAATATTGAATGCACAAAGGTGACTGTAAAAACTACATTAAGGTTCCCCAGACTTCTCTTTATTCCTTCACCCCTTAAATTGGTGGCCTTAAACATCATTGGCTAAATCCAATGTTAGTCCTAGAAAAAGTTTATCAACTGAAATAAGTGAAGCTTGTTAGTCAGAAATAACTCAAGTCACAATGATTTCAGTGTATCTGCATGAACTAAAATGAATGTTGGGTTTAACCCAGCTGTTTTAAAGATTTAAGTACAGTGGACCCTCGACTTACGGAATTGATCCGTATTGGAATGGTGGCTGCCAGTCGAAAAGTCTGTAGGTCGAGTCTCCATTAACCTACAATGCATTGAAAACCGATTAATCCCGTAACCAGCCGTGTTTGTTCCATTTTTGTTCCATTTTGTTTTTTTTCTGGTCTGTAGGTCAATTCTCAGGCTACAAGTCGAACCTAAATAGACCACTGTTGCCAGAGCTTCTGAGATCCACTGCATACTTGTCTCCGAATTAAAATTGGAGATACCCTTAATTCATGCAGTCAAAAATACTTTATTCAGAGCACATAGGAATAACTATTCACCCTCACTCTATACCTGTGTTTCTGCACTAGCCTCTTCTGAGGGCAGATAATTCTGTTGTACCACTACATAAAAAGTGATTGAATGATCCCTTAGTAAACATTAATTGTGGAGCTGATATTTGCAAAATAACTTATATATGAGAATAACATTTCCAGAGACTTATGTTAAATCAGTTGATGAGGTGATAATGTGTAATACTCAGTCTCCCAAAATGTTCTATCTGCACAACAATTTTATAAGGAAGCATGTCTGAATGGAACATACATTTAGTTTTCATGTTACTTTTTCTCCTCTGTTTCCCATTATTGATTTTGTTATTGTTGTTGTGCCCTTCATATGCAGAATAAATAAAACATTCTCAGCTGCAGAAGGGGTACATAAGTAGCTCATACATAATGGCAAACTGTAAGAATGAATTCTATTGAGGACTGGGGTTACGTGTTCCATTGTTTCTTCCTCTCTTCTACGCTGGTAAGGAGGAACTACTGTACTTTCAGTTTTCAACTAATCGCAGTTCCCTATGATGTCTAAAAGCAGAGAACCATGATCTGTTTAAACTAAGATAATGAGAACGAGCTCACTAAGCACCTCACTGCAATGTCCCTGCCAGGAGAACAGCCAATCTCTGTGGCCTCAAGCACAATACACAGGCCCAAAGTACCCTCAGAAGAAGTGACTAGTAAACCACGTCTGAGTACTTTATCCTTTGCAAACCCTGAGAAGCACTGAGGATTGGACTTGATAGCCTTATAGGCCCCTTCCAACTCCATTACTCTCTGATAAGAATTGCCATAAACTAGAGACAACTTAACAGGATGCAATAATTATTAATGAAAACTGAGCAGGATCAAACTCTGCTTTTAGAATTCGGAATGTTCTCGGCAGCAATGGTTTTAAAAGACCATAATTAGAGATGGGGCTATTTGTATACGTATACAAATATGAATAACCCCACACAGGTGGAGATAATGAGGGTCCAGCCCCATGGTGCTGGATGGGCCACTCACCAATCTGCCACAATCGGCAAGCCACTCTTCAACCTAGCAGAGAGGCTTGTCGTCCCACCTCCAACCAGGAGTGGCTCACTGATGGATGGGATCGTGCAGCAATCGAATATGAATACCACCATCTCTAACCATAATTCCCCAAGTTAAAGTATTAACAGGAGCTATTAATGGCTTTAGAGCAGAAACAGAAATCTCCTCATAGGTTCAAAAAGGAAGAGAGAACAGTCAGGAGCATCTATTTGCCCATAAAAACTGGTTTGTTCAGTGGGAAAATTTGTTTTCTTGTTGCATCAAACAATTGAACTGCAAAATCACATTCCATCCCCAGTGCTGTAGCTCCTAGGAAATATGTCCCCATTTTGGACCAGCTTTGAATCTGACCTATTGACATCAAGGCCTCTTCTAGCATCTTTGTCTTATCTGTGGTTAAGAATTAGCAGAATAGCCTGCAGCATGAGTAATTTTATTGACAAAATTCAGACTTGAGCAACAGTTAACAATGGTCTTTTTCAACTACAGTTGAGTGAGTACAAACCAGAATCAAACTATGGTTTTAAAAGTCTGTATAGCTTTCCTGGATACACTGCAAAGCGAATAAGCATAGGCTTTGAGATTGCATGACCTGTGCTAACATCACGGGCATGCTTCTGCTGCAACTGGATCCTTCCATTCTGCCGAATTTTCAGCTGGGATAGTATCCTCCTCTCTTCTACAATGTAACAGGGGCCAGTAAGTGATTCAGGAATTTCTGTGATTGGAGAGCTCAGAAAAGATGTGATCAGAAGCTGCTGCTTCTTTCTGAACTAAAATCCTACCATAAAGGCCATAAGGATTGCAACCTTTTTCTTTTTCTTTCTGCTTTCTGTATTTTAAGGGTACCATGTGTTTTCTTCCATGATTCTGCAGACTAAATTAAATTGTATAGTGAATCTTCTCTAATAGACTCAGGACAGTTTCACAGTGGCAAATTACTAGCTGTAGGCAAGCAAAACATAGCCAGGGTTATTAAAAAAAACAGGTGCATTTGCTCAAGAATGTGGTCTTTCAACTGCATTTGTGCCTACATATATTGCTAAGACCTAGCTGCTAGGAACAGGGTTTCCAGCACTCTCTTGACAATAAAGACAGGCAATGGCAAAAAGCTACTTTGCAGGAGATGCTGGTCCCATGGATTTAAAATCCTTTGTTATGCGCACCATAGATCTGCAAAGTATTATCTGCCTTTGTGTAGAATTATCTGCCTATACTTCCTATGATATCATGATGTTATTGGCTGCTGGTTGATGAAAGCTTTCCAGATACTAAATTCATCATGAGAAAATAGTCATCCATTTTGTATGTGAGCCATGGTGATTGGGTGCCAAAATCTTGTTTCAAGACCTCTGAAGATAAGGGCAGTGCCACTTATATGGACTGGGAGAGCAAAACATAGATTTTCTATATATATTCCCAAGTGTTGAGACATAGGCACCATAACAAAGCAAGATACTCATAGCAGTCTACAGAAAATACTTGTGCATCCCAATGTACTCTCATTTAGGCATGCTTGGTAAGGAAGATGGGAGTAAATGAGATGCTTCTCATTTGTGAGGATTAGTACTTTACAAAACAAAGTCTTTTTTTCCATTTAAAGAATGTGATATTTTACAACATATTCTCCTGAAGTGTCTGGTCCTTTGTGGATTCGCATGCCATAATAGGAATTTGCAGGTCTAGAATTGTTACAGAGCAAAACCATTTTGTTCATTTGACTGTTAAAATATTCCTTATCCAGGAAACAGCGGAAAAAGTTGCACGACCGTCTCCGTCAGGGTCTTCGATCTGAACGTAACCACAGAGTCAACATGGCCAATGGGCCTCACCATCCTCACCCACCACCAGAAAATGTGCAGCTGGTGAATGTAAGTTTTACATTTACTGCTAACTAGCAACAGCTCAACAGGTCACTGGCTTTTGAAACCCATTTAATTCCTAAATATTGGAAGCAAACAAAAGTTTCCTTTCCCAGAAATATGTTCTTCTCACTCCACAACTTGGTAAAGCACTTGTTAAGAAAATGTTGCAGTACAATTCACAATAATCTGAATTTTCAGACTTCTAGTCCCAGGCTGAATCGATAATTGAAGAGTTGGCCTATCTTTTCATGGAGTAACACCCGTATGGATGTTTTAAGATAGAGAAAGTTTCAGAATAGAAAGCTGAGATGGTTGCTGAATTCTGTTGCCAATTTTAGCTATTTTACTCTTTTTTTAAAATTCCTAATTTTATTATGGGTTTTAATCCATTTTTCTGCACAGAAGATGCTGAAGACATGGATGGCAATATGTGATATACTTTAGTTATCATATCATGTGAATTTGAAATATATTATTAAGCCTTACTAACATTGGCTGCCTGAACCACCCCCCTAGAAGACAGGCCACAGCAGTGTCAAGTCAGCCAAAACATAATTTGTTGGACTCTTTGCTGAAAACTGACAAGACATGTCTGTTTTTCTGAGAAGCTTTTTGTCATGGTGAAGGTGTGTCGCATGCTCCATGCACACTCTTTGCTGCTCATTAGAAAACTGTGTAGATTTCACATTGATTTTTTTTCTCCGTCTTAATCACATGAGCAGGCATGCTTCCAGTTGCCAGTGTAATTTAGTTCAAGTAAATAGATTTAAATAGATCACCCATGTCTTATGTGTGCCATCACTTTGTTTCATCTGAAAGAATCGTCTGTGCTCTTGCATAGCTTACATTCATTTCAATGCTGAGCTTTTTGCCCTTATTCTGCTTCCCAAGTGTGTTCAGGTTTCAAGCTTCCTCCAGACAAAAGACAGTCCCATAAATATAAAAGAGCTGCTGAGTATGACTCTCCAGTGGTACTGTTAACAATGTGACCCCTCTTGATATGTGCTGGCTGACAAAGTGAGAAGTGGTGTCACATCTGTGGCTGTTGAACCAGATAACGCCGTTCATCAAAGCCGAATGAGAGAGATGTCTGCTGGTCAGGAGAAAACTAAAGAGAACCTTAACAGGCCAAAACCTTTCCATCCCTTTCCCCCTCCCTCTTTGCTGGGAGACTGGACATGCAGAGCGACAGGTCACTTGAGAGGTACCACTCTAAGGAGGAGAGGGCTGGAAAAAAAATGAAAATTGGAAGCAGCTCAGAATTATCCATTAGTTAATCAATTAATTATGGGCCATCAGGTCAATTATGATTGGTGGTGAACCTTCCCAGGGTTACTCTTTCTGGTGGTGCTGTGGGACCATGCCAGTTTGCCCAAGGCTGGACAGACTGGCTCTTCTCCTGGGAAGCAGTGAGCCCTGGCACCTCAGCCAGGTGCTCCATCCCACTGAGCTATCCAAACTGCTACCTGTAAGCCTACCCCTCACTAAGCTATGGGATAAATCCTCAAGAATGGGGGGGGGACCCCTGTGACATTTGAGTGAGAATGTATGACCTCTGAATCAGCTACCTTCACTGTCTGTTGAAAGTCCTAAGGATCTTTGCAATCAACCAAAGTTTTCCCCTCCCTAAGCTATGGGATAAATCCTCAAGAAGGGGGGAGAACCCCTGTGACATTTGAGTGAGGATGTATGACCCCTGAATCAGCTACCTTCACTGTCTGTTGAAAGTCCTAAGGATCTTTGCAATCAACCAAAGTTTTGCCATCAGATTCAGTGTGGGAAATGTTTCACCTATTCCAAGATCCTGTTTTGTGTGTTTAAATAGTGCAGACATTTCCCGTATTACATACTCCATAAAAGAGACAATTTGTAGACAAGCTATACTTGCTATTTGGCCACCAAACAGTCAAAGTTTTCCTTTTGCCAGTTACTTTTCTTAGTACTATAAAAGAATAGTGCAGAATTCATACTCTGTAGTTTTTCTTGTCCCTCAAGTGATAGCCAAACTAAACATTTTGAAAGAGTGGTATGTATAAATTAGGAAAATTATGCTATTGCTAACAGTAAAGTACTGGGAAACAGACTGGATCCCTGCATTAAAATTCAGGATGCTAATGTTTTGAGTAGTTACTGTTAATCATTGTCATCATGTGCTGTCAAGTCAATTCTGGCTTATGGCAACCCCTTTTCAAGTTTTCCCAGGTAGAGAGTACTTATAAGTGGTCTACCATTCTCTTCTTCTGGGGATGCCCTGGGAGTGTGCAGCTTGCCCAAGGCCACACAGGCTGGCTCTTCTTGCAGGAGGCACAGTGGGGAATCAAATGTCCAAACTCAGGCTCCACAGCCAGATACCTAACCCTCTGGGCTATGTTACACAGAGAATAGTTTAAAAGCAGCGTATGCATACATACCTCGTTCTTTCTCTAATATCTAGCTATATTTCTAAAGCCATGGCTGGAATAACTGGGGGTCAGTAAATACCCACAAGGTAAATATTGAGTTCTACTGAAAACAAACCAGCCTTTCTGACCTATCTAAGGAGGAGGAGCAGACAAGAAAGCTATTCCTTCCTGCTGAAATGGCTACATATTTGACTTGCCTGAAATGGCTACATATTTGATTACTTCATCTTCTTATGAAATCAATGGTAGCTGATCCAGGAAGCAGTGCGGCTTCAATGTACTGTACAAAATTGCCTAGTATGCTTGTTCTGTGTTATGAATATGAACTGTGTTTCTACTTTTATTTAGCAATATGTATCTAAAAATGTAATATCCAGCGAGCACGCCGTTGAGAGAGAAACAGAGACATCGTTTTCAACAAGCCACTACACCTCAACGACTCACCATTCCACAACAGTCACCCAGACACCCAGCCACAGGTAGGAGACTGAAACAGAATAAGCCTTCTGCTGTCACCTGAAAACAAAACTGGTCTTCAAAAATAAAAATGTACATTTTGTAAAGAATTTTCATTTTATAATGGTGGCTTTTCCTATGACTGAAACCAAACTTGTCTCCCAGAGCTCAGTCGGCAACACTGCTGCAAGGCCTAGAACATAGAGTACTGTGTCCAGTTTTGGATACCACATTTGAAGAAAAGTTTTTTCAAAGTGGGGTGTGCCCACAAAAGACGGAGGGGGAAGTTATGTTTATCTTAGGGAGAAAACTTTGTGGGAAGATTTTATTTATTTGTTTATTTGTTTTATTTATATCCCGCCTATCTAGTCGATTAAGACCACTCTAGGCTTCAGATATTTGAAAGGCTGCCCTGCAAAAGGTGGAAGAAAGTTACTGAATGCAATAATTAGACATTGCAAGGAAACAGATTTTAGTAAACATTACAAAAAACTTCCCAACTGAGAATAGTCTGCCATAGGTAAGAGGCTCCCCTTTACTGGAAGAATTTGAACTGAGTCTGGATAGCCCTCTTTCTAGCATTAGAGAACTTCCATTGAACAGATGGGTAGATAGTCTGCCCCAAAGTCTGTGGCTGGAATCCAGTAGAGCAGTGGTCTCCAACCTTGGACCTCCAGATGTTCTTGAACTACAACGCCCAGAAGCCTTCACCACCACCTCTGGTGGCCAGGATTTCTGGGAGTTGAAGTCCAAGAACATCTGGAGGTCCAAGGTTGGGGACCACTGCTGTTGAGTACTAATGGAGTGAAAAGCTCCATCAGCATAATTAGCATGGATCACAGCCCTCAGAGGCTCTAATACAGTAGTTGCCTGAACATTGCTGGTGTGTGTGTGTGTGTGTGTGTGTGTGTGTGTGTGTGTGTGTGTGTGTGTGTGTTGGCAAAGCCAAATGGGAGCCACTGGTATCCTAAGTCAGTCAGTAGTAATATAGTTTCTTCAGGGGGCACAGCTGTAACTGATAAACTGGGATATTGTCTGTGCAGGGTGGTACAGGATACCTCTCTGTGCACTGATTTCATTCTAATTTTTCACATGTCTATCTTGTACTTTCTTTTTCATTTATTTAGCTTGCTTTAATTCTCAAGTTGTCTTCCCCCCCCCGCCCCACCCACTGCCCCTTTGAAAGAGGTGAACGGCAATATTTGTAATTTCTCTCTCTTCCATCAGCAAAACTATTAGCCAAATACTAAATACAGTTGAGCGTGCATTCCCAGATAATCTGAAAAAGTCCTAAGCAAATGTCCTTATCCTGAATTTAATAATTTGCTTGGAACACACTGCTTTTACTTTGGGTTTGGCTTTCTTGACACAGAAAGTGCCTCTCTTGCCCATGGCTTGTCCCCTTCCAAATGGTAGAATCCCCAAAGGATCTCAGTTGAGGGTTGAACATTCCTGAGCACCCCAGTTTTGCACACCTAACATTTTTTAAGGATTGTCTGCTCAGTTATTTAGCAGCAGCAGCCTGCTAGAATGCAGGGTCTCATTTTCATGCGAAGCTGTTAAGCACATGGCCTGGGCGGTTGTCAGAAACACCACTTCGCTTTCTTCTTCCTGCATTTAAATTTCGAAATGTTTCCTTCTTCCCAACGGCTCTTAATCAGTTGGAGTAACGGTCGAACGGAAAGCATCATCTCTGAAAGCCATTCCGCACTTGTGAGCTCCTCTGTGGAGAACAGCCGGCATGCAAGCCCGTCAGGGGGGCGTGGGCGCCTCAATGGCATTGGAGGCCCCCGAGAATGCAACAGTTTCCTCAGGCATGCACGAGAGACCCCCGACTCTTATCGAGACTCACCACACAGCGAAAGGTACCCACTTAATATCTGGAAAGGTACAACTGTCTGAGATACTTTGGGGCAGAATCCAAGGTGGTGAGGAGCACAGAGGCAGGGGGGAAGAAATGGACATCTGTGCTTTTAAGACGACCCTGTTTCTTCAATGCATCAAATATTTCTAAGATGGGAGAAACTTAGATAAAACTTCTTGATAATGGGATTTTCTGCTTAATTATCCAAAAAATTGTTCCGTCTCATGCTGAAATGTCTTTTGCAGTTCCCTTTTTGAGAGTTAACTCAGGCTGCTTTAAGTCAATCTTCCATGTGCATGGCAAATAGTTTATTGTCCCCTGGGTAATGGGGAAGCCTTTATGTAGAGGTGTGTGTAAGTGAAACTAAGTACAGGTAAAGGTAAAGGTTCCTCTTGACAATTTTTGTCCAGTCGTGTTCGACTCTAGGGGGCGGTGCTCATCCCCGTTTCCAAGCCATCGAGCCAGCGTTTTGTCCGAAGACAATCTTCCGTGGTCACATGGCCAGTGCAACCTAGACACGGAACGCTGTTACCTTCCCACCGAGGGGGTCCCTATTTATCTACTTGCATTTGCATGCTTTCGAACCGCTAGGATGGCGGGAGGTGGGACAAGCGACGGGAGCTCACTCTGTCGCGTGGATTCGATCTTACGACTGCTTGGTCTTCTGACCCTGCAGCACAGAGGCTTCTGCGGTTTAGCCCGCAGCACCACCACATCCCTGAAACTAAGTATAGGCATTGAATAAAAGTGTCTCTCTTGCCCATTGCCCCTAGTATAACATAGGCATGTTTGATTCCAGGATTTCAGAACTCAAGAGTCCTTCCTCCAGTCCCCACGCATTCAGTGCCAGGGAGCTGTTCAAAAATTCAGCAGAGATTACAGTGTTCTCCCTGCTTAATAGAAATCTGTTTTCAATTTATTCTCAGTCTCTTGAAACAGAAAGTGATGGTAGGAGAAGTTTAGCACATATTCTTTTCTCATAATGAATTTCAGAGGACAAAGCTCCATATTTTCAGATATTGAATTCCTCTAATCAGTGTTGTATTTTCATTGTTTCTACAGTTCCAAAAACTCTTAGCATGCTTTAATCCTAATATATCCAAAACAATCTAGAATATGGGACATGGGTAACTGAATTTTCTTTAATGAGACTGTTATTAGAGTGGAACCATCCTAGTGAGTATCCTTCAGGCCTGCCCACGTCTTGTACAGAAAATAGAGCACAGCAAAATATTTTCCCAGAAGTTGTAGAGAAGACAAAAGTAGATGTATCATGAATAAGTAACAGTCAAAAAGTCATATTCTCCTTAAGAGCCCTTTCACTATTTATGTACATATTGAAGCAGACTGAAATTCAGGGCTTTGGACTGTAAATTAATTAGTCAAAATTTACATTCCTTTTGTCCTGCAGTACTAAAATTCAGCCTTGGATACATTTTAATTCATATGTAAATGAACAATGTTTGGTAATTCCTTTGGCATTGAAAAAACCAATTTGCATTCCCTGGCCTTGAATGCTATCAACAAAGTTTTCACTTTTAAAAGAAAATGGATAGATCACAACTTCAGCAACTTTGATGACTGTATATAGTTCACCATTAGGGAAACGACCCTGCTTTGTACAAGTTGTTAAATATATGGAAGCCTTCAAGCAAATTTATGCAGCTGTCAGAGTTGCCCTGTTTGAATGAAGTCCCTGCTACTGAGACGCCAAGGCATGTCTGCTCTTGTACCTTGAAATGCCCTTAGAAAGTGATCTGCCCACCCCATGCTTGTTTTGTGTGTGGGGGGGGTGTTCCTCCACAGCAAAGGAGAAGAGCGGTCCCTATAACACATTGCCTCCAGCTACTCTCTAGAACGTCAGACCATATTCACTGAAAATCTGTGTACTGGTTTAAAAAAATCATTGAGTTAATTGAAGTTACTACTGTTGGCGTTAAACATACACCGGCATTAGAATTAATTCATATTAATTAATGTTTTTGAAAAAGAAATAACCCCAGGTAAATATCCAAGGTCTCCTTAATATGCATGCCAAGTTGGAGATTTCATGGTCTGGACCAAGGGCACACATAGACATTCTGTTTTATTAATACTGATAGACTATTGCTAACAATTATCAAAAATAGAAGACTTGGAATTTAGGGCACTGAAACTATTTAAATATAATTTTAATCAGTTATATCTTTTGGTACCTCAAGCATTGATCTAACAGGTTTAGAGTTCAGAGGTACAAGTTTGTCTTTAAGAAAATGAACAATGGAGAACTGGATAAAAATTCAGCTAAATCACTACATATAGGCTGATACATTTAATTCAACAGTGCTAATAACAATGGTTCATCAAAATCCAAATGGCTTGAGGAATACTGAAGAAAGACATTTTCTGTTACTGTTTTTCAAGTATTGCCAAGTTTTGTTCCTTCATATAATTGACCTAATTTTTATCTCCACTCCTTTAGGTATGTCTCTGCTATGACCACGCCAGCGCGCATGTCACCGGTCGATTATCACACTCCAAGTTCTCCCAAGTCACCTGCTTCAGAAATGTCACCTCAAGTCTCCAGCCTAACCATGTCTGTCCCTTCTGTGGCAGTCAGCCCGTTTATCGAAGAGGAGAGGCCTCTCCTTCTGGTGACACCGCCCCGATTGCGAGAAAAATACGAACATCACCTGCAACAGTTCAACTCCTCTTACCATCACAATCCTGCCCATGAAAGCAACAGCCTACCACCAAGTCCACTGAGGATAGTGGAGGATGAGGAATATGAAACCACCCAGGAATATGAACCGACCCAAGAGCCCCCAAAGAAACTAGTCAACAGTCGGAGGGCAAAAAGAACAAAGCCCAATGGCCACATTTCCAATAGAATGGAAATGGACACTGACACAAGCTGTGAGAACAGTAGCTCAGAGAGTGAAACAGAAGATGAGAGGATAGGTGAAGATACGCCTTTTTTGAGCATACAAAACCCAATGGCAGCAGACCTAGAATCAGCTTCTGCATATCGACTGGCTGACACTAGGACTAACCAAACTGCCCGGTTCTCAACGCAGGAAGAATTGCAAGCAAGATTGTCTGGTGTAATAGCTAACCAAGATCCCATCGCTGTATAAAGAAAAACTTTTAAAACCCCACATAGATTCACATGTAAAACTTTATTTTATATAACGAAGTACTCCACCTTTAAATTAAAATTATTTTATTTTAGCAGTTCTGCTATTAGGATTAAAAAAAAAACCACAGGAAAAAAACTTTTATAAATTAAATATATAATGTATATACAAAAGTGTTATGTGCCATATGTAGCAATTTTTTACAGTATTTCAAAAATGAGAACGATATCAATGGTGCCTTTATGTTATGTTACGTTGAGAGCAAGTTTTGTAAAAGTTACAAGTGACTGCTGTTCTACAGTATTTCGCCGAAGACTCTTAACATTCTGGGTTATTGCCTCCTAACTCTCTACCACCAGTCCATCTCCCTGTCCCTGGCTCTTCTCCTTTTCGTGCATTGCATTAACAGTGACTGGCTGTACAGTTTGCAAGGATTGCAACAGTCCCTGTGTCTGCTTACTGTGGCCACCGGTCCAAAAAAATTGCTTATCCTGTCTGAGTTGCCCTCTACTCTGACAGAAGTAAGGTTTGCTTTGGAAACTTGGAAGAAACGGTAGATCCCAAAGCATGCTATTATCAACTAGCTGTCTTCAATGTCTTTATGATCAAACGATGGGCTATAAACTAAGTAAATGAAAGAAATTAACAAGGCAATGCATATATAAATTTTTTTAAAAGATGCTGTTAACTATATTAAATATTTGACCATAAAAATAACTGTTATTTTAAATTTAATATAATCAGCTCATGAATCTGCTGGAACATAAATAGAAAACATTATTCTTCTCCCTCCCTCCCTCCCACAGATATGTGGTGTTTAAATGCATGTAATCATGTTTCTTAGAGACACATGGTTATGATTCCTTGAGTGCAGAAAGAAATGTGACACAATCTTGCAGACAGATTGCTTTTGAAATGAATGGGATCTGCACAAGAGGACAAAAGTCCTTTTGTCCAGCTGTCATTTATATTGACACATAGGAAAGTAGCATGTTATTTCAGCATGCAGGAAAGCTTCCTGTTCAGTTATGTTCAGGTTACGTTAGTTGCAAGGTTTTAAAACAGACATGTGTAAGCAACCAAAGTAAAAACAAATAGTTGGGGAAATTAAAATGACATTGATTGAAAACATAGTCATTCTGAATTTCTGTTTTGAAGTGGATACATTGTTCTTATTCAGTCTGGGGGCAGGGGAAGCAAACAAGTCTACATCAGTGGGTTATCTATCCCATTGTGCCAGCCAAGATTATTTGTAAAGTGAAGCCAGGATTTGCAAAAATGAGATCTAGGGAGAAAGGCTAAATTTTTAGTATGCAACTGTTTTGATTTTTATTTAACTGTCTGTATGACAAGCATGTTATATCTGTTAGGATCCCATTCATGCATGGGTTTTTGCTAGGCATGTGCATGTGACCACTGACTGACAGAATGCCTTTCTTACAAGAAGGCTAAACTTGGTGAGACCATAATAGTTCTATTCGTTTACACTCAGGTCTTCCCCAGTTACATGGAACATAGGTTCTTTTAGAGACAGAAGAAGAGTTGAGGTGAATCTTGTCTCCTCTCTACTCTTCCCCCATCCAGAAGTCTCCCTCCGCCATTTTTTCTCCTAGCCAAACTTCTCAGAGCTCATTTGAGGGCAATTAGGGCAGAGGAAGACAAACACAAGACTATGAGAATGTACGCTTTCATTTCTCACTTTGCTTTATGCATATTTGGAGCCAACCAATTTAAACAAATTGATCTGCCCATCTAAGTTTGGTCTTTAGCCACCACCAGCAGGACTATTGCAGCTTCTCATTCACAAGCCAGTAACTTCACTTTTGGACATAATCTGGATCCAATAAAGAAGCTTGGCTTTCATCTATTTATCGTACTGTATGCAGCACAGCCAGGGGACTGGAGATGATATATCATACTGATAGACTTTTTATGAATGAAAAATATAAGGTTATTTGTACTGCTATTGCTGATTCTCAGGAGAATCTGTAGGGAAACCTATCTGTTTTTAGTTCATGGCTAAATACTTTGAGCTGAGTTGACAATGATGCATAGTACATCAAGGCTCAGATTCACAAGACTCCCAGAGGGCCTAATCTGGAGAATGTAATCTGAGCACTGTGGGTGCAGTCCTAATCCTTTTGTATCAAGAAAAAGTACTCAGTAGGATTTACTTTGGCATAACCTGCTCAGGATCATGGTATAGGTGTTGATGAAACTGCATTACAGAATCACCATTGAAACTACTCTCCTATTCACATGTACACAAGCTTCAAGTTTCCATTTCATCATACGAACTTCCTGAGCATGTTTAACTTATCTGAATATTGGCTACTCATTCAAAGCCAAATACTGAATATGTTGCAGCATTAGGTTCCTGGCATCCTGAGAGTCAAAGCTATGTTCTTCCTTTACTAGTGAAAATCTGTTTTACAAAGGCAAGAAGGTATTCCTGCATTTCTCTGTAAATCCAGAAGCCCTCCCATGGCTTTTGCTCCTTAACTTGCTTTAAATATTCTACATGGCTTTGGAAGTTCTGTTTTATAACAAATGTTTTATTTGTGCAGCAAGAGGAAAAAGCAGAGAACATTTTTTTCTGCATAAGCTGCATAAGTCAGAGCAGAATACTACTCACACTGCATATCAGGTGGAAGTGAACCAAACAAACATAAACTTCAGAGAAGGTGGGCCTAAGGGATTGCTATAGAGACAACTAGTAGTTCAGCATCAGAAGATCAGATCAGGCTTTAAGATGGCTGTTCATAGTTGATGCACCAAAATACTATGGATGTCTTGCAGTTAAAAAGTATATGAAAAAATGCAAACTAAAGAATGCAAACTAAAATATTTTTAGTAATATTACCATTACTCCCCATACTCTTCTCGACATAGTCCTTCATTTTACATCTCCTTGTTTTCTGTAGAGAGCAGAAAGGGAAATTAATCAATGACTGAAATCCTGTAGCTCAGCACAGTAAGTTGCATTAGAGGAGGCCCACTGAACTGGTGATGCTTTGGTGAGTAAACCCCTCCGTAAGTTCCACTGATTCAAATTATTCCTCTAGTTGCAACTTTTAACACCAAAGCAAGCTGCAAATAGACAAAGTCTATCTGAATGAGTAGAACATACTGTGGAGTTGACTCACCCAATCCCCACTGATTTAGTGGACCTTTCTAATGGTATACATCCTCCCCAAGTTCCCCAATCTATGCTGTAATGTTCTACTAGAAGTTTAGAAAATGACAGCAATATACAAGTATTACCTCCCCTGTCCCAGAAGAGATACACTTTCATTCATGTTAAACCTCATAATTCTCCAGGCCTGCTCTGTGGGCTACTGCAGGATGCTGAGTGAATATGCTAAATTGGTCTCTCCAGGAACCAATGTTAGGGAAACATGCATTTAGCTGCATTTCTGCTGTATACTGCTAAATATTCCACAGCTCTGTTGATCTCCAGGCAAGAAACTTACTCTCTCTTTTTATTTTTTTATTTCTTATTTTTGCTTTTATCACATTTCCATGACAGATGAGTCACCACTAGAAAGTTTCTGTTAAAAAGATAACACAGGGATATATTAAATACTTAATTTTTGTACTGTAATTATATCTCAGTGGTTCAAGCTATCTGAATATCCACAATATTTAACATATTTTTGGCCATTCTTAATTACAGATAGCATGAAACGTTTTAGTTAAGTGCTAGCTGTGACTCCTCCCCTGACAAGGGGTTAAGTACAAAAGTGCTGACTAAAATGACAACTATTCAGAAAAGTAATTAAATTTCTTAAGCTGACATTGATGTGAAAAGAGGAGTAGTTTCTTAACAGGAATTACATTTCTCATGTCAGTTTTAATGTAGTATGTGCTATAGTGGATCAGAGCAACCATCATAATACAGTAGAGGAATTTACAGTCATATGAATATAAAATGTCAGTACAAATGCTTTGATTTATGTACTTAACATGCTCTTTATATCTGTATTTATAGTACAGGAAAGGGTCTGTGTAAATCCCCATGTTTACGTGCCACTGCTGTTATCTTTTCGGTGTTAACCCTATTTCCTCAAAACTTGCTCGAGGCTCTGCCACTATAATAGCTGCTGTGCAATACTCTCATGAATGAAAGTGACTAAAGGATTACTGGATATACAAATTCCAAAATGGACAAATTATTGAGGGAAACGAACTAAAGACACGGGGAAAAGCAGTACCTAAAGTTATGCACATTTAGGTGGCCTTTTCCACTGATTCTGATGTTACCTTGGGGACTGATCAGAGTTAGCTAATGAGAGATCAAACACATTAGAATGAATAAAATGTTTGTGAAGTGCATCAAATGGTTGTAAAGAGTTTGCAGGTGTTGAGATGGCTTTTCGTACATCTCTTAAAGCCCTGCTGGAAATTGCCTTGAGTGCTGTACCTGAGTCAAGGAGAAAGACAGTAGTGAGTGGTATGTCAGTATTTCTGTGAAAATGGTTTGCCTAGTCATCCCTTCATTTTGTTGCTTACAAAATGGCAGGTATTTGCTGTGCCTCCGCCACAGTGTTCTAAATGGCATTTGTCTAATAGACAGCTCTGTTCTTTGAAGTAAATATGGTCATGAAAGAGAAACAGACATTTCTAACATAAGTGGTTGGTGAGAGTCTGATGCAAATCTGTTTTATCCCTGTATTTCTGCTTACATTCTCATCTAGGACAACTCCAAAATGCCACAACTACTGATCTCTCAACAGAATATAGGGATGGGGAACACTCCATATTGAACCTTGGAAGGCTTAACTTGTTCAAATTATCTAGGATTTTGAGCTAGATTTCCTACAAGAGCTCAAGTTCAGTGAGAAACTGATGTCCAATTAAATGCAATTTAACATTCCCCACCCCCCCAAAAAAACCCTCACAACCCCGAACAGATAAATACCAAGAAAATATATAGTTCACTTTGAATCAATGTAACCAAAAGTGAATTCTAGTCTTCATGGAGTTAGAGTCTGCCTTTAGAATAAAAATCCTATTAAATTTTATGTTGGCAACAGATAGCATACATCCACATTATAAACCATGTTTATTGCTAAAACCATGCAGCTTAATATTTTCTTCCTCGCGATAGCCCTATCTAGCTGTATGAGCAAGCCTTTAAGAATACAGGGCATAAACAAGAATAACAAAGCATTCTCATTATAGTTAGTTATTATATGCGTGAATATTGCTTGATCTCTCATGGCTAGCTGGCTCACAGTGAGTGTGAGCCACTGTGTGAATTTTAGATGACAGAAACATTCTGTTTGGACTATAAAGCTAGAGTGGTTCATTTACTAATATAAACCAGTGCTATGTTGAGTTATATCAGCAAATGCATTAATAAACTAACTGATACAATTCTGCAAAGGACAGCCATGGTTACGAGCAAGGCCACTGGAGCCATATCTCAGAGTAGAGTCCTCCTCCACTCCTCACCTACTAAAAAAAAGTTGTAGAGAACATTGTTCATATTATTAAGAAAAATGAACAAAGAGCAGCACAGCTCTCAGGACAGTCTTACTTTATGCATTCAGACATATACTAAGTTTACTAAATGTAGCCTCCATTCTTTTTTCAATTTAATATTTGCTAAAAAGGTATCCTAAGTGAAATAGCAGTCAGAATAAAGAACTGTTATTTTGACTATAGTCTGTGCTCTCCTGTGGCAATGTACCAGTGATGGTACCATATCTCATATTAAATGATTTGGCAGTGAAAAGAAATCCATACTACCAAAAGCTCCAAAGGGAGGCTGTGTGCGTATAATGTTTCATTACAATGGGTCAGCGTTCCCTAAACAAGTAAATATCCAACAGGTAACTATGTTCTGCATTTTTATCCTTGTGTATCTCATCACCCACTTCACCCAGTATTAACTGTTGCTGGACACCCAATACCATGTTCTTCTTTTTATTTTGTGATCCCAAAGAACCATGCCCATATTTTCTTCCAATTTTTTTCATCTTAATGTGAACATTCAGCAGGCCCAATTGATGCCTTGTGAAAAGTCTACATCTTTTTAATGGGAAATCCAAGCAACATCTGCTCTCACACTGGCTGAATTTCTCCCAGCCTTGGTAATTGACATCCAACATATAGACCACAGATGAAATGCTGCAGAGAAATGCAGATAATGACATGGCCACATCTCATTTTAAGTATATATTACTTTTGTAAATACATCTTGTACATACTTGGATGTTTCCCCACAATCATTTACTGTCTTTATGAGTTACATATCAGTTATAACACTGTAAATAACATAATGTTCTTTATTATTTATATTCAGACGTTTAAGAGAGAGCAAGAGAAAGTCCTCATCTGATTTTAAAATATATGTCAAAAATGTTTGATTATACCGTCCTCGTCCCCCTTCAAAATTGTAATGTACCCCCTTTTCCCTCCTTTTTAAAATTATAATTTATTGGTCTAGAGAGAATGTATCTATAATGGAAAATGTATGAAGAACGCACATTGGAAGGCCATAAGGTACTGACAAACTAAAGAATCTATAATCCTAAATATTAAGCAATAAGCAATTGTTGATTTATTTAAGGTTTTGTTGTTCATTTTCAGTAAAAGAGGTGCTGGAATAAATTGCTACTGTGTAGTATCAGCACAGTTGCCCCACAGACTGTTTCAGTCGATTAGATTCTCTCCCTGCCATCTACCTCCCCCCTCAACCTTGTTCCTGGTGTCCATGTCCAAAGACTCAGTTCTCATGTCATCTATGTTCAGACTTCTGTTGGATCACCCAGCTGATTCTCTGTTATCAACTCCCCACTTCCTTCCAGGTTTATCTGTTCATATTTCTGAAGTTGGCCATCCAGTCTGCTATTTGTTGCTTGTGTTTGTAGAAGTCACATGTCTAATTGCTGCTAAGCAGTTTGACACTAACCAGAGTTAAATGATAATCTTAATAATAATAAACCATCCAGTGACATGTTACATGTCCCAAATGTTGCTAATGGAAACGTAGTATTGAAACAGTACATGTATGAACTATAGTGATGGTGTGAATTTGGAAGTCCAAACAAGTTCATCATACATTCCTCAGTACGCACTATGCCTGCCCATCAAATGAATGAAGAGAAACAAAATTAACATAAACTCCAGCATTCCTATACTTCCCACATTTACCATTTCCTCCATCACACAGCAAGAAATAGAAATGGGTTTACTGTTGAGTGTAGAGTCAGCAGGAAGGTGTAACTCCTGTCTTTAAAATAAGTATGTACTATGAGAATTTCCAAATATTTGCTTGTCACATTTACACACACATGATGCATCAAAAAGTAACTTGTGATGAAACCAACAGGAAAATAATAACAGTCATTGTCAGGAAAATCAACTGGATTTAGAACACACTTGGTAGCAAACCAACAAAGAGTCTTGTGGTACCTCAAAGACAAGGTACATCTGAAGAAGTGAGCTGAAGTCCATGAAAATGCCAATTAAACAATCAAGAACTTGTTCATCTTCAAGATGTCACAAGACATCCTTTATGCCCTGCTGGTTTTTTACCCAGACACACATTTTCTCTCATGACACTTAATCCAGCATAAGTACACCATCTTACCTGCCACTGTTCCTCTGTAAGCCCCACACCCATTGCTTTACATCTCATCTGTGATCATCTGTATCTCCATTGCCCCATGATCTTATCCAGAGTGCCTCCCTCTGCCCCACGTAGTGCTTTGCCAGAGAACATGAGTGTCCTAAAATATTCAGTTATTTGCCCTTCTTAGGAAAAATATCTTGAAAGACATACTAAGTGATCCTCCAAAAGGAAGGATCATTAAAAGGAATGAGTTTTTCACATCCCGTAATTCTGAACACACTTGCTTTGTATTATGAAGGGCTGTTCACCATAAGCAAGTGTGTGCTTTGCAAGTCT